GATATATATTTACTGTATAAAAAGGAACCAATGCAAACACTATTATATTGATATATTATTGTTTGCCTCAAACTAAAGAGACAGTCCAAACAGTTTTTTTTTCTATTTTTCATCTTAGTTAAACAAAGAACCAGACCAAACAAATTTTTTATTCATTGCCATTTATCTTCAAAGGAAATATTTGAAGCTTATTCTTGCCCATTTGGTTTGGCGTTTATTGTCAAAATGCCAAAAGACACAGAGATTGTTACACTCGTTTAGCGTTGATATTGCCAATTCATATAACAGCAAGGTAGCTTTTTTTCTATAGCATTTGTAATAATAATCTCTGAGAATTCGTTGAGAGTTCACTTATTTATCGATCCCATGCATTCTAGTATAGTATAAACGTATAATTTTACGAGAATTTGTGTGGATTTTATTCTTGCTAGTTTTGTGTGAAATATGCATTTCTTCACAATGTCCATATTGTAATATCTGTTTGCCATCATATTAGTTACATCAGGTGTAAAAACAAACCTAAAACTTTGCTTAGATATTGATTTTTTGACAAGATAACACGTGATGACATTGTCTTCCCAGAAATTACTAGTGCTCCAACCACTGGTAAAATTTACCATGGTAACTCCGATGACAAGTTGTTAGTGAATACCACCGCTGTCTGTTTATCATGGTAACTATAGTTACCAGTGATTTTACCATCGTAAGTGCGTTAGTAAATCCGGCTCCAGGAGAGTCACCACTCTGGTTAGCCTATTGCCCTGAATTTGGTCCACATGTGAGCTGTGAGGCAACCAAATCCAACAGGCTACTTTAATACTGCTAAGTTTTTCAGTTTAGATATTGATGTTTAATATTTGGTTATGTTTGCTTGCAGGGATGTTTTCTATTTTTTTTGCTATAATAGCAGTGACCAGTGATGGAGCAGCAATCTCAGAGGGAGGATTTTTCCAAGGGTATACCTTGACCACATGGGGTGTTGTCTTGATACAGGTAAGACAAATTGAATATTAGAATAGATGAAGATGTGTGTAAGTTTTTTTGCATTATCAGATTACTTAATGTGGGTATCCAATGCGGGTATCCAAAGGTAGTCATGTTTATGTTTGTAGAGTGTAGCTTACCTATTTTTTTTGCAATAGTTTTTTTTACTTATTTACCCACTTTTAAGTTCTTTATTTGCTATGCAAGAATGGACAAACCTAATTGTGGGTTTTGTTCTAGTAAAAGATCAACTTTTCTCTGATCTTTATGTAGATATATTTCACTATTAAACACTTAGATATCCTTGAAGATAGTTTTTTGAAGGATTTTTAACATGTGATTAAATTTAGAAACATTTTCAGGCATTTGGTGGCTTGATGGTATCAGTGACCATGAAATATGCTGACAATATCCTGAAGGGCTTTGCTACATCGCTGTCTATTGTCATGTCAACACTAGTGTCCTGGTTGGTCCTGGGAGATGCAGCTCCTTCAACGCAGTTTGTTTTAGGAGCTTCGATTGTCATAGCATCAACAGTTCTGTATGGTTTGACCCCACAGGCAGCCAAAGGCAGTAACCAAGGGAATCTGCAACCAAGAACTGACAGCCCTCATAAGGTGTAAGACATGTTTTGTTTGCTTGTGGATTTGTTAATCAACAGAGCTTTATGGTGGCTGAAATTGATGGGCATTCAGGCAAGATTTTTCTTCTTCTTTCAGTTCTGAACTTTTATCTGTTTTTGGGTCTTCTGTCATTTAATGTCTTTTCTTTTCAGTTTTGTGGATTCCTTTTAAACAGTAGTGGCACATTCTGAGTACGGAAAATGTTGTATATCAGATTGGATGACCAGAAATTGAATTATCAAATTTACTGTAGAAATGTCTCCAAAGATTATTATTATAAGGAGATTATTATTATGAGATTGTTATAAAAAAAGCTTCTGAAATGCTTTGAGTAATATGGAAGAAGACAATTGCATTTAGTTACAATTTTTGTTTTCCTCGCATTGCTGTAGTAAACCCACTGATGCGCACACAGATGCACCATCGTACATATACCCACACACTGCTCCCCCCCCCCATACACACATACCATCACAAATAGTCATACAGTCCGGTACTCTGACAATGTCCTCCTATTTCAACATTCTCTCGAAAAACAAAGAGGCAAAGTTGCCTTCTCCAGCCATTCCAGTCATCCATATCCAATTCCCCTACAGAAACACTAGAAGACACCCAAAACTTCTTAAGAATTACCCAAGAGAATACTCAACTCCCTCTTCAACTCTCCAATCCCTCTATTCCTATCCACTTTACATCCACCTCCTCAAGTTCCCCCGACCCCTCTTCCTCCCACTCTCCCCCAGAACACCTCATCCTTTCCTTCTCCATGCACACATGATTCCCTCTTCTTTCTCCATTTTCCTTACCACTCTCATCTGGATGCTCACATAACTCCTTTTTGTTGCAACAGTGTCCTTCTCCAGTTTCTTCTCCTCTTGACATTCTTCTTGATGCTTTACTACCTTCCCCTGTTCCCTTAGTTCAATCTTTGGATTCTTCTAATTCTTCAACTGCCATTTCTACCAGCATTACCTGTTGATTGTTTCTTCATGGCTCTTTTTCAGTGTTACTCTCCTTTCCTCAGACACGTTCTCTTCGTTTGATCAAATTGCCTTATACCCTTAATCCCTTCCCCTTTACAGATCTCTGCTGTACTCCATTTGCTCTCCCCTCTTTACCCTTTTCACCATTCTATCCTATATCACTATACAACCTCAGACATCTAACACATTTTATCCTAGTTGTTAACTAATTTTTACCCACTTCACCACAATATTTTACCATAGTCCAATATAACCTTTGATGTCTAACATATTAATTTTAAACTTCATGAGCGGTATTACTATCTATAATTTTTTAATTTTAATGTGATTGATTTTTGTATAGTTTCAAAGCTTTCTTATATAAAGCCATGGCAACTTGGCTTTACAGAATTAATTGGAGAAAAAGTATTTATGTAAGCATATTTTAAGATGTTTTTATAAGCTAACTTGTTATCAAATGTCAGGAGTACATGCATGTGGACATGTATCATCCATTGTGGGTTTGTTGTTTTTATTTTGGATACACATAGATGGCTCCATAAGTGCTTTGTCAATGAAGCAACCTTTCCATACCAATATGTCTGGTTCCTTGAATTTTCAGGGAAAAAAGTTTTATCTTATTTAGTACTATTACTTGTTGATTCCATAATAACAAACAGGATGATAATAATGATGACCATGATAATAGTAATGATGAAAATAATGATGATGAAAATTGTAGTTATTATTGTTATTATTATTATTATTATTATTATTATTATTATTATTATTATTATTATTTATTTATTTATTTATTTTTTATAACAATAGCTATAATGATACTAATGGTAATGATAATAGTCATGATGATTCTTGGCCAGTTTCTTAAGACTATGAAAGACCTAACCAATTAATTAGCTCAGATATAGACCTGCATATACACAGGAATAAATACATACGTATAAAAGTAAGGGTAAATAGTTAGTCAGGCTGATAGATTGATAGATAGGTAGATAGATATGTGTTTATTTCTGTGTATATATATATATAATATATATGACAATTTTAGCAAGTGATAATGATGATGATAATAATGGTAATAGAAATAATAGTGATGATGATAACAGCAGCGATACTAGTTCATAGATATAAGATTTTTTTACTTGGAAATTCAAAGAAGGGGGTAAACAAATGAGATCAGGTAGGATTACTAAATGACTTCTTGGTACCCATGGACCCATTATATGTAGAGAAAATTAATCAACCAAAACTGCATTGGACAGAAAATATACTCAGTATCAGAGGCTTAATTAGTGGTGAAGTCACTCTTACTAATTTTGTTTTTATAATTTTAGAACTTCTATAGTTAACAAGAGAAAGAATTGACAAATTATGTAACAAATGTTAGCAAAAAGCATTAGAGCTCAGTCTAATTTTTCTTTTCATATTAAGGCTATGTTCTCTGTAGTTTGAAAATTTCTTTCCTAAAGTGAGAAAATCTTATTTTATTAGTAAACAGTTTGTTATTAATTTAGAATGAAACAAAACCACACAAATCAGCTTTTTATTAATCACATTTTTTAGTAAAAGTGGGAATGAGAATATAACCTTTTGCTTGTTTATCTTTTCATGCTAAACAGGAGGACAGGACATGGTATTGGTTAAACTCCTGAGGATAAACTCCTTTTCTCTTTTTCATTGCCAAATTGTAGTTTTCTTAAACCTTTAGTTTAGGAACTGGTGAATGATATATTGATAACTTTTGTTTCTGTTTTATTATTATTTATGTGTGTGTGTGTGTGGGTGTGTGGAATTCATGGTGAACAGATTGCAACAGGAACAACGAAGGGAAGAGCAAGAAAACACACGAATACGCTGAAGGCCTTTTCACTATTGCTTCGTCAGGGCATATACTACAAGAGGTACATGGAGGAGTATATATTCAAATACTGGGTGGTCAGGTCACATCGGTAATCAGGTGAGCGACGACCTTAGCTAGTTCGTGGCTCCCCGTATCGGTGTTGATGTTGTTAGTTGTATGAATGAACGCCGCTTCTTCCATCTTCCTTTGTCGTGGGGCCAGGCCTTGTTTTATGATGGAAGTCTGGGACCATTTCGGGAGGTGACCGTCGGTGTCTGAATGAACAACGAAGGCGCTTCTCGTGTCATGGCGTCGGAGAGCGCTGCGGTGTTGGCTGATTCCTTGTTCGTGCAGTCCTCGCCTATGTATACCTTATCACAGCCCCCACAAGGTATGCTTTACACCTGGCTGAGGGGTCTGTTGTGGTTTGACCTCTTTTCTCTCACGATATCTCCGATCTTCTTGCCTGAAGACGTAGCTATCTTGAGAGTACGGCTAACCAGGGCCTGCAGGTGCTCAGTCAATTCCGAGTGGGGGATGATTATTCTCTGAGTTCTACTCTGTGTCCTCACCTCTCGGTCTGTTCATAATCTTATCTGCCTTATGTCGGAGGTGGGTGAGCATGGAGCGGGGATAGTGGAGGTGTTGGAAAGTGTTGCAGACGGATTTCATCTCATCCTCCAAGAACTCAGGGCTGCATATTCTGAGGGCTCGGAGGAAGAAACCAATGATCACGCCTTCTTTGGTTCTCTTACTATGGGCAGAAAAATAGTGAATGAAATCATTTTCATTAGTGGGTTTCCTGTATACTGAAAATAACGGTCCATTTGGTCTCCTGTGGATCATGGTGTCCAGGAAAGGGAGATGTTCATCCCTCTCTTCTGTGGTGAACTGGATGGAGGGGTGTACTGCATTGAGTCTGTGGAGGAGATCTGGCAGGTTCGTCCTGGTTGGTACTACAGTGAGGATGTCGTCCACATAGCGGAGCCAGACCACGTTCCTTCCCATGATGTTACGGTAATGGTCGGCCTCGAGGGTTTCCATTAACAGCTGGGCAAGGACTGCTGAAAGTGGTGAACCCATTGCAAGTCCCTGGATCTGTTCGTACTCGCGTCCACTGAATTCGAACGGGCCAAACTCCACGCAGAGAAGGATGAGTTCGATGTAATCATCTATCTGTAGTGGTAGTTCGTCCTCGTCCATTCTTCTCAATGCTCGTTGTGCAGCTTTGATGGCCCCGTCGATTGGCACGTTGGTAAATAGCGACTTGACATTGAAGCTGACGAGCGTTCTACACTTCATGCTGACACCTTGCAGTTTGGCCATCATATCCGAGGTGTTCGATAGATGGCAAACGCTGATGGAGTTAAGGGCGGCTGATAGAGGAGCTGCGAGTTTCTTAGCCAGGCGGTGTGGAGCACTTTCGGTCCCGGTGGTGATGGGTCTCACAGGGTTACCTTCCTTGTGGGTCTTGATGCTCCCAGGGATCATTGGTACACGTCGCGTCTCCTCGAGCAGGTGGAGCATGGACTTTCCCTTCTCTGAACCTCTCAGGACCTTCCTTGCTGCTTTGTTGAATTCAAGGGATGTACTTCTTTTAGTATATGCCCCGACGAAGCAATAGTGAAAAGGCCTTCGGCATATTCGTGTGTTTTCTTGCCCTTCCCTTCGTTGTTCCTGCTGCAGTGTGTGGGCGTGTGTGTGTGGGCGTATGTATGTGTGGGCGTGGTGGTGTGTGTGGACATGTGTGTGTGTGGGGCGTGTTGTGTGTATAGTGGGCCGTGTGTGGTGTGTGGGCGTGTGTGTGTGTGTGTGGTGGGCGTGTGGTGTGTGTGGGCGTGTGTTGTGTGGGTGTGAGTATGGTGGGCGTGTGTGTGTGTGGGCGTGTGTGTGTGTGTGTGGGCGTGTGTGTGTGTGTGGTGGCGTGTGGTGTGTGTAATGTGGGCGTGTTGGTGTGTGTGATTGGGCGTGTGTGTGTGTGGTTTGGGCGTGTGCTGTGTGGGCATGTGTTGTGTTGTGGGCGTTGTGTGTGTGTGTGGGCGTGTGTGTGTGGGCCGTGTGTGTGTGTGTGTGGGCGTGTGTGTGTGTGTGTGGGCGTGTGTGTGTGTGTGGGCGTGTGTGTGTGTGGGCGTGTGTGTGTGTGTGTTTGGGCGGTGTGTGTGTTGTGTTAT